AACTGTATCATTAAAGGAGCCATTACTACAACAGTTTTATTAAAAATTATAGAAATTGCACTTGTGCTTTTACCAAAATCAATTCCTATTCTTGAAAACTGATCGTTTGTCCTAATTTTTGTCATTGTGATCAAGACATCAATGAAATCCAGTCCACCTTCAACTAATAAATTTACGATATAGAAACAGTGTTCAGGCAAACCTAAGAAAAACCGACTATTGTTCTCTAATTTAGATATTTCTAGTTCCTCTTTTGATGTCTTCAGTCTCGCTCCATTGCTTCCTGATGAAGTGCTTAATAGCTGCAGGAAGGAACTACCACTTGAGCCATTAGTGCACTACAAATCCCTGTGCACTTTTCAACCAATTGTTTTAGTTTGAGATGACTAGTATCAACGATTACTTGGACTCCTTTGGTTGCGTTCTTCAGGGGTAGCATACTCGAGTTTTGCTGGCAAGATTCATCATGATGCAGATCTCTGCTTGTACCTGGCTGCGATTCATCAAATAATTTTGCCCTTGGTTTTCTCTTGCAGTGGAGCTTTTTTTTCTAATATTTCTAACATCTCAGCTTTCCTCTTTTTTCATGGTGGACTCAATTGTGTCGTACCTAAACTCTGAACTGACAGGTTCCTGTGTGGTTTCACGCCGGGTTTTAGTCGTAACCTCTGCCCAATTGTCTTGTAATATTGCCAGTTTTCTGCATCATTTGCCAACTGAAAATAAACCGTGATTTAATATAATTTGAAAAACTTTAGCTCTGTTAATAAACTTACATCACAACAGTATGACATAGTGGTAGGAATTCAATACTTGCAGTCTGGTACCAAAGAATCCTAGTGTCAAGGTCTATCGGATCTGATAAGAATATTTTATCAGGTAAATTGATACTTGTGTTTGAACACACCTTAATAAGACACTTTTTTACAGACATTTTTTTGTATTGTAATGTTCAAAAGAATTCAATATATAAAGGTTACAAAACGGATAACACAAAATCAACAGTACGAAACACGGTGACGGTACGGAACTCTGTCACTGTCAAAAGTCAACGGTTTGACCCTCGTGAACCACAATGTTGCCAAGTTATGTCGACCTACAGCTATACATTCATAATATAGACAGGTACACCATTGAGTCAACACTGTTGATCGGAATAAAGAAGCGTTGCTAAGTCGTGAACTTCATGAAATTCCCTAGTGCATGGCAATAGCGCTGACGCTTATCCTTGATAAAAATATCGTCACATTCTAATGAGAACCTTTAAAAAAATCGATTCCTATTGGCTGATTTTTTCGGAGGGACAAACATGAAGTTTAAATGAACCCACTTTGGTGGTATGAATTTCAAATGTATTTTTTTCAGCGAATGAGTGAAAAAAGCGCGTGCAAAGTGTATACCAATTGATAAATGGTGTAAACAATCGATTTCAGCCATCAATAGGACAATATCACCAAGTTGGAAAATACCCCATTGCACCCTAGGAGCGAAACAGCTTTGAGAGTAGTGTTCTCCACGCCTTCCCTACACTCTTTGGCGACCATCAGGGGAATATCTAGTAAAACGAGACTCGTCTGTAAAAATAACGTTTTTCCAGTCGTCGATATACCAATCTGCATGAGTTCGAGAAAATACCAAGTGCTGCGTTCGATGACCTACATTCAATAGAGGGCCTTATCTCCGTATCTCAACCTTACGCTGTTAGGTGAAACTATGACACCATGAGCATCATCCAATCTTCGAGTCAAAGCTGTAGCAGGAACTGTCCTTTCTCGAAGAGCTTGAAGTCTCGGAAACCGATCTTCAACTACGTTTGTTGCTTTTCATCTTACCTGCCCAAGTCTTCTTGAGTAAGAACCAGTTTCTCTAAATATTTGTGTCGCATCGAATACCGTACTGCGTGGAACGGCAAGCCTTTCTACGATATACCGAATAGGACGACCACCATCTATAAAGCTACAGCTTGCTCTACTTGTTCCGGTCTCATTCTTGTTGAGTATTACTTAACAAGAATCTTTTTAACATGACAAAAAAAAATGTTAGGTGACACAGTCTACTTGAAACAATTTCTTACCAGGCAAAGCCTTCTTGGAGCAATTTCTTGTTTATGGCTATGATTCGCATGATTTTCTTCAAAACAGCATATATTGTTCAATAACTGAGATGTTGACATCATTCAAAAAAAGAACTGTTGAGTTATATAGTTCTGCCTAAGCCTTCTTCCTAATGTAACCCAAATGTGCTCAATGGGGTAGAGATTCGGACTACTTGGCGGCCAGTCAAGTACTTGAATTTCAACATCGTTATTGCCTAGTCATTCTGGCTATATGCGGCCGAGCATTATCTTGAATTAGGAGAAAATAATTTTCTCCTATAAAGGGCATATGAGGAACCACATGTTCTTCCAAACACCCTCTATTGTACCTGTCGGCAGATAAGGTGTCCTCGTAGCGAAACAAGATCTGTACAGGATTCCAAAGAAATACCGCTCCATACCATCGCTCCTCGACCACCAAATTGCACTCTAGGTGCGAAACAGCTTTGAGCATAGCGTTCACCACGCGTTCCCTACACTCTTTGGCGACCGTCAGGTGAACATCTCGTAAAACGAGACCCGTCTGTAAAAAGAACGTTTTTCGAGTCGTCCATATCCCAATTTGCATGAGTTCGAGAAAATACCAAGCGCTGCCTTCGATGACCTACATCCAATAGAGGACCTTATCTCCTTATCTCAACCTTCGCCGTACGCTATTAGGTGAAACTATGACACCATGAGCATCGCCGATCTTCGAGTCAAAGCTATAGCAGGAACTGTCCTTTCTCGAAGAGCTTGCAGTCTCTGAAACCGATCTTCAACTGCGTTTGTTGCTTTTCGTCTTCCCTGCCCAGGTCTTCTTGAGTAAGAACCAGTTTCTCTAAATCTTTGTATCGCATCGAATACCGTACTGCGTGGAACGGCAAGCCTTTCTGCGATATACCGAATAGGATGACCGTCATCTGTAAAGCTACAGCTTGCGCCACTTGTTCCGGTCTCATTCTTGTTGAGTATTACTTAACAAGAATCTTTTTAACATGACAAAAAAAAATGGTAGGGGACACAGCCTACTTGAAACAATTTCTTACCCGGCAAAGCCTTCTTGGAGCAATTTCTTGTTTATGTCTATGATTCGCATGATTTTCTTCAAAACAGCATATACGTATGTTGTTCAATAATTGAGATGTTGACATGATTCAAAAAAAGAACTGTTGAGAAAAGTTGAGGCTGAAAATTCTCATACGAAGACACATTATTCAGTTATCTAATGTTTCCACAGAGTGTTCAGAAATTTATGGTAAGATGCAGCTTTTAGTTACGCCCAACAAAAATTAACGAAGTTGATTCAAAGTTTGAAAAGTTATTTGATATTTAATTTGAACAAAATTTTGTTTGTCCGGTTAATTTTGCGTAGCAGCGAATATTTGAACTAATAGTAGGATGCAATTAGTCCAAAAAACGGTGTAACGTCAACATCCAAAGTAAAAGTTTCCCTTCAACTCCAAATTGTTCTATACAGTCCACATATTGTTTGATAAAAAGTTACATCATTTTGAGCGTCGGGTTTCGGGGAAAGAGGGGGGAGACGTTTGCAAACAAGTACTTTTTATCAGTTTTTCTTAAACATTTCGAAAAATGTGAGGTTTAGCGCAAAAAGTATTATATAGAAAAATAATCTACATTAAATTGCGAACTAAAATTGTCCTATGTATAATTTAGCTAAAGAGAATGGTTCCGGAGTTACGGAAGGTGTAAAATTAGACATTTTTCGTAACTTTTAGACTTTTTGGAAAAATTAAATTATAACTACTATTCGAACAGAAATAAATAAACATTAAAAATAAATAATGTTCAATAGTTTTATAGACCAAAAGAAGTTCAGAAGCATAAAAGTACTAGGAGCAAGAACCGGTTCATTAAAAGCGCGCCTGCTACTACAAAGCAGTGTTGCCAACCTGTACAAAATAGAAACCGTACCGATAATCAAACCTTGCCGTTTTTTTTAATTACGGCTGTGTTAGACGTAAAATACAGAGAAGTTAAATAAAATAATAAGTCACAATACTAAGGTTCGAAAAAAGACTTTTAAAAGAGGTCATATCGTTTGACAACGACGAACGAACGAAAAAAAAAACGGAAAAAAACAAACATTATTTTAAATATAATTTATATATATAGTTTAAATCTTATGATATGATAAAGGTGTGATCGTTTGGCAAATTAATATTAAAATAATTATTTCTTTCTTTGAATTTTTGTTTTTTTTTGTTAATAGTCAAACATGGTATTTAGAAGTGTTAAAGAAAAAAAGCCGTGATTTGTTGGCAACACTGCTACAAACCCGCGCATGCGCTGGCCGACGCCGACCACTACCTGTCACTCGCTCGCGTTTTCAGTCGTTGAATGCGCTTTTACTGTAATTTTTAGTGAAGTTCCGCTGTCGTTTTTTTATCGTTTGTCTTTAGAATACTGTGCGAACTACATATATGATGAATGCTTGAAAGTGTGTGAATTATGGCGGAGTGTGGGTTAAAGCCGTGTGAGGACAAGGGTGGTGAACTAATTACTCTGACTAAAAAGCCCAGCTACCTTCAGACAGATTTGCGAGCAACCGTTGTTTTCGATGGATACGAGCAAGGCAATACAAAAGATGAAGAACACTTACGTAGGTCACGTTCTACCACCAGCATTGAAGTAAAAGTGGAAGACTCAATCCATGCAAATATCAATCAAAGTGAATTTCTAGCTAACGCTAAGGACACAATGGGATTTATTTCTCTACTTACAGTGCACTTGCAAAGAGTTGGTTGCACAGTTCGTCAAGCATTGGGGGACGCTGACTTATTAATAGTTTTAACAGCGATTGATGAAGCTAAGAAGAAGAAGAAATGCTTCTGTTATTGGTGATGATACGGACTTACTAGTCTTGTTGACTGTCCACGCACCCTCAAAGAACAAATTGAAAATGGTGGTACCAAAAAAAGGCAATCAGCAGGAAAAAGTGTACACTATTTCTGACATTCAGCGAGGTATTGGGGATATGAAAGATGTACTCTTAGCAATATACGCCTTCACAGGATATGACACGGTATCAGCTATCTACAAGAAGGGAAAAATTACACCGTATAAAAAAGTGCAAGCCGACAACGTTCTTCGTACAAAACTTCTAGTCTTCAACGACCCCAAAGCTGACCCCAATGCAGTGGCTGACGCTGGAAAGCATTTCCTTCTTACGATGTTTGGAGCCAAGAACACTGAAAATCTAGACTCTTTTCGCTACCAGTGTTACTTGCAGTCTATTGCAAAGCAGCCCATGCATTCGTTGTTCAAGTTGGCTGTACTTCCTCCCACTTTAGCAGCTTCCAGGCAGCATGCATTTAGAACCTACCACCAAGTGCAGCAGTGGCTGAACGAGAACAAGAATCCGCTCGAGTGGGGGTGGAAAAAGATTGGCGAACACCTGACACCAATTACAACAGCACGTCCTGCAGCTCCCCAGGAGTTACTTTCTCTCATAGTGTGCGCTTGCAAAGTCGAATGCGTCCGTAACTTCGAATGCAGAAAGAGCGGTCTAAACTGCTCAAGCATGTGCGGTAATTGCTTAGGCCTAGGATGTAATAACAGAGACACGATCATAGAAGAAGATATAGAAGAGGAAGAAGGTGCCTATGTTTGACGAGGACTGAATATTTTACATTAATTTAAGGTCGTATTTATAATAAATATATAGAAATATAGTTGCAATATAGAATCAAATATGTCTACTCATATGCCTACTTTCAGAAAAACATCCACAAGCTGCAGTTTAAGAAAAAAATATGATTAAAAAAGATGTAATTATATATCAGAATTATTACACAAATATAAAAGTTCATTTTTAATGCGGCATTCTCCAGAGAAAGTTCAGAGTGGGTTTCTCCGCACCACAGGTTTATATGGCCTAGACCTATGGAAGCCTCTTTTCCCTTAAAAAGTAGCGCCCCTTGAGAAAGTGGTGAGGTTGTCTTTCCTTCAAGGGCTTATCACTAACATACACCCGGCCACTAAAATCACCATTCGCTTTTACAAAACCCAATCTTGCATAAAAAAAATTGGTTTCCTTAGTGTCATGTTTTCCAAAAAATCTAGGTACGTGAAATATCTACTTTCTCATCTTCCATAACTCTGGAACCGTTCGCTTTAGCAAGATTATGCAAATTATCATTTTTGTTCGCAATTTAATGTGGATTATTTTTATATATACCACTTTTTGCGCCATACCGCATAGTTTTCGAAATATTCAAGAAAACCTGATAAAAAGTACTTATTTACCAACTTCTACTCCCTCCCCCCCAAAGCCGACGCTCCAAGTGGCGTAACTTTTTACCGAACAATACGTGGACCATATAGAACAATTTGGAACTGGGGGGAAACTTATACTTTGGATGTTGAGGTTTAGGTCTAAGTGCACCGTACTATAAGACCCACTTCATAATAGTATGTGCTATTTTTCTTTAAAACAATTATGTTAACTACCTGTGATGTCGAATCAGTGTCATAACTCCATAAGAATTTGTGACCTCAGATCAAGATATCTCTTTTTTGTGCATATTCAATAAAAGCTATTATGGAAATAACTCGAGTTGGAAAATTTCTCCCGTGTCAGGTTTGTTGCGAATTCTAGCCAACCATCTACATAGTCTGTGGCTTTCTTAAACGGCCTTGAACTCATCTTCTGTTCGCCATAAAGCTGAACACGGCAGAGAAACCGTCGCTGTACTCCTCGTCGTCGAAGTCGTACCCGCAGCAGTGGTTCTCCTGTAAAAATACACGTTGACGTGCGCTTGCATAATTTGGAAAGGTCAATAAATCGAGTTGCTTGCTCCGCTTGTTTTCTGTGCGATGTTATTGTTTTCTTCTTTCGAACTTTCTGAAACCAAACATGGTGCTCTTCCTTGTTCTTTTTCTTCTCCAAAATCATGAAGGTGAAGCGTTGACGTCACAGAAGTTCTGCTTACGCTTCCGTGACCTTTGCAGATATTGCACTGTTTTCTTTCTCGTATCATTATAAGCGGGTTAGACGAATCTTCTGTTGCTGTCAGGATCTCATACGCAAAGCTAGCTAGGTAGCTGGGATATGCAGGGTGACTCACAAAGAACTGGATACGCTATACATGGTGTTTCATTGGGAAAGGAAATATGCTAACCGTGGATAGATGCCACTTAGATAACTCATGATTGATGGATATTTACCCTCTTATAACTGAGATGTCAATAAAATGATAAATGATAAATAATGAAGCTCATTCATCTCAAGTTTTCAAATAAGAGGTTGTTACACCCTTATTGTTCGCAAAAGATTCATTGTTTCTCTAGCTGTGTGACCAGTTGCTCCGTCCTGCTGAAACCACATGTTTTGCAGGATAAATTCTTGGATTTGAGTTGCCAGAAAGTTTTGCATCATATCACGGTAACGCTCGCCAGTGACAGTAAGAGAATTACCTGCAGCGTCTTCAAAGAAGTAAGGTCCAATGACACCTCCATATCAAACACCGCACCAAACTATGACTCGACGAGGATGTAGTGGTCGTTGATGGATGACACGAGGGCTCTCTAATGCTCAGATACGACAATTCTGCTTATTAACAACACATCCATTCATATCGCTCATTATCAGTTGTCGGTAAAAATTGTTATTTTGGGCAGTAAGCTGCAATATTGCATGACTATATTGTCGGCGACTTTCATGGTTACTATGCTGTAGTTCTTGTGTTAACTGAATTTTGTATTGTCGCAAATGAAAGTCTTTTTTTAAAATAGTCACAATGACGTGCGTCGAATACCCAGTTCTTGAGATCGATGTCTGGTAGATGTCTCAAAGCGCTCCACTACACTTTCACCAACTCTCTCGATATTTTCAGGAGTAGGTACGAACAGTTCGAACATGGCCCGATCTTGGCAAGTCTTTAACTTCACCTGTTCGTTCAAATTTCCGTACCAACTGGCGAATGGTATTGACACTGGGCACATTATTCCAACATTCGACTCATTATTTAAGTAAAACGTTTTAACAATATGGACTCGTTGTGGGATCGTGTAGTGCTCCATAATCAGTTGGATGCATGTGCTTTGAACATCTACTACGGCGTCACCTACTAAAATGCGTGTATCAAATATGGCGCGCAATTTAAATCAGTCAGGTATATATTAACCACCCTGTAGTTTGGTAATTGTTATACAGCTGTCATATGTTTTATTAGTAGGACTCCATAAAGCTCCTTACTTCATTTGTATTATAGGATTTCAATAGTTATAGTCATATTGAGCCTTTTAATTATTTGATACCCATATCATAGCGGTGATCAGGAAAATTATTCATTCAGCGGCTACCACCATATTAAATTTAGAATCACATCACTACGCTCATTGTGTTTTTCTCATCAAGGCATTTCATCTGACACACATATCCCAGGAGTGACGTTGAAATATGTAGGTCGCCATTTTGCAGCGGCTGCCATATTGTATTTAGAATGACGTCACTTAGATTATTGCATTTCTCTCATCAAGCCTTTTCATTTGATACTCATATCACTGGGAATAGAAATAATGAATCGCCATTTTGTAGCATATGTCATATTGGATTCGAAATAGCGACATTTAATTCATTTTGTATTGTCAGGCAAACCAAACGTGTGTACAAGATTTCACCTTGATTGGTTAAGGTTAAATGAAAAATTCAGTTCCAAGATTTGTCCCACACAATCTAACATACACGTGTACTAACAAAACATGTCAAGTTAAATAAAAAATAGTATAATGTCGATTTTGGCTATTCGTTTATAGTCGCACAACGTTTGAACCACCCTGTATATATATTTGAAGTTAGTATGCCTATTCATCTTATCGCATCTATCGTACCTGTATCTTCGACGTACAAGTTGTAATGATATGGGTGTCTTGGCCATCGGTTACGACTTTATAAATACATATAAAATAGAGTAGTTTTGTATAAGGACGTCCGTTTTTCTTTTCTTTTTTTTCTTTGTTGAGACTTATCATGAACCACATTTTTCTTATAACCGATTTTTATTCTGATCAATAGCTATGTATATTGGTTGAAGCTTCATAGTTACTTGTAGCTTTGACCACCAATTAATCTTCTTTCTTTCGTAATTTTTCTGATTCTCGTGCGAATTAAAAAAATGTAGTATCAAATTTTACAGAAATCAGTTGGTCCGCGTCTATCTAAACTGAAGAGTATATTATTAATTAAAATTAGCGAATTGTTGGGTTAGGTTCGTTCTGGTCCAAAAGTAATCCTCGCTCGAAATGTCATAAACCCAAAATTAAAGCATAAAGACATGGTTATTACCCTGAATTTGTATTTCAATATGTTAGAGAGAACATATTCTGACATCAAGACAAACATTTTCATTTTTCCAGCCTTGTCGCAAAGCGAAATGAGAGATGAAAAAGTGAATGTAAAAAGTCAATCGATTTCTCTACAATTTGATTGACAGATCTTTGAGTTCGTACGGAAATGAAAAATCTTGTAAAAGGGAGAAGGCAAATTGGCGGTAATAGGTTCATTTGATTCTTCCTCAACCACTGTACATACTGCAAAATAATGAATTATAAAGCATTGAGGTCTGATTTGCTGATTGGCTAATCAAGCCACAACACAGAGCGATTCAAAGTTGGGGCAATGAAATATTATTTTGGCTTACCTGGTCAGGCAGTGGCTCTCTCATTTAAAAATATAATTCTACTTCAAGATAGCCAGTCATATACTGTATTTCGGTGGCTAAAAAGAGGGTACAAGCGCCATCTATGAGACAGTATATAATATACCGGGTGATTCTCCAAGGTGGATTATCCCTATAGCCTTTTTATTATTGAAGATAGAACAACGAAATTTGGGGGATGCGTATTATAGATGAATTTACATTTTTTTGACGTACTCACCTGCTTCGACATATAGTACTTCCGGTTTAACCGGAAATGACTCCAACTTTCGATTTTTAAATGGGACACCCTACATATTTTCACTTATTTCGAACGAGAATGGCATTCTAAACTCAACAATGCCTCACTTGTCATTATTTAACTAATAGATTTGTTTTTATTTCAATTTTGTTTTTGCGATATAGAATGCCATGGATCCTGTAAATCGCTTCATTTTTTATCAAGTACAAAGGGAAAAATGCAATGTTGAGGCGAACGGCCTTACAGTCATTTTAAAGGTTTTCTAAAAGTTCCAAACACTATTGTTTCAGTGTATTTGTTTTTTTAAAATTGAAAGGGGGTGCCGCGTCATCTTTTTCTAAGAGACCATTTCCTTACGAATAATTTGACACTACACACCCTTATTTTATTTTCACTATTCTTCTGAATAATTGTAAGAAACGATCATACCTAACAACAAAAGTCCCATTATTCTAGTTATCCGTGACAAATAACTGAAGGTGTTGTTGAAATACAGAATTGTCCCCTAAAGAAAAAAATCTAGCGGATTAACATCTGGTGATCTAAATACGAAAAATAAATTAGAAGTTCTAAATAAATATGGCAACAGGATGCACTTCGGAGGCCATTAAATAGGTCCATTAGTGCCAATCCACTTTTCTGGGCTTATTCAGATGTTCTCTTGAGAATTGTGAGGTGGAGTCCCATCTTGTTGAAA